AGAAACAAACATGTAGAGAAAAAAAAAAAACACAAAGCTGAAACTGATTCAAGAGTTGGGAATTAAATGTTTGAGCCAGAGACAGATGGTGGTACCTTCCTGTACAAAACGTGATTAAAGAGTGTTTAGTCAAATTTGCTCTGCAATCAGTTTTATTTGCCTCAGGATGATAAGAAGACAGAAGACACCCCCCTCCACACACACACACACACGCACAGTCTGGTGCAGCTGTCTTTATGGGGACCTGGCATTGACTTCCAGTATTTTCTACAGCCTGACCCTGACCACCAACCCTAACCCTAACCTCACAGGCATGTAGCTGACCTTAAAACTGACCTAAACTCCATTCACACCTTAGCCCTAAACTTAACCCCCGACCCACCAATGGCATTCCCCCTCATGATGACTAGACTCAGGTCCCCATAGGTCCCCACAAATAGGAGTGTATGCCAAAAAACTGTCCCACGACGTAAGGAATACCAGTCCCTCCCCCACACACACACAGCTTTGTATTTGCATCAAACTGAGGACATTGAATTGACTTCCATTCATTTTTGTAACTGTATTTATGCCAAACCCAGACATTTTCCCTAAAACTAACCTCATTTTCCCAAGGTTAACTTCCCAGGTAACTTAAACTCAATTCACACCTTAGTCCTGGATCTAAACCCCCAATCCAAAAACGAAGTTCCACCGTATTAGGACCGGTCTTTGGTCCCCATTCTCGAAGTCGGAGTGATGTCATTCAGTCACGTGATTTCAACATCCATTTTTTTTTATGGGGGAAAACAAAAGAGACGCCGAAGCGCGTTGCAGCTGAAGGGAGCAGTAAACACGGTAATCTCGTGGAAAAAACACCGCTGTCAATCGTCAGTCTCATCTTTCTCTTAAACTGAAAAAAATATAACCCCCCAGACCTTCTTTTTGACTCGAGGCTCAAAGGTCTCTGACAAGCACTAAAAAAATCTACAGGAAGAAGAAAATAAAAAGGGACAAAATTTGAATGGAGATTGGCGGCAATGARGAGCCGGTGAGAGCAGGACTTTATTAATGAGATCTGTGACTTTTAACATGTTTGGATTTTATAGTTAGTGTGTATTTTTGAGTGTTTACTCTTCATTTTAGCCAGTTTTAGTGTGTTTTAAATTAAAACAACGAGGCAATTCTTTTTAAACAAGGAGAAGCACGGAGGTCTGCAGAGACAGAACGACAATACGTGTCTTATTTCTCTCCCCTCACACTTGCATCCATCCATCCATCCATCCATCTTCTTCCGCCTATCCGGGGC